TATTTGCTCACATATTGTTTTTGATAAGTACGATATTAATGATTTTGGTTGCCATTCTCGCCATTCAATGTGTTCATGAATGCATGGGTCAAACTCTGATAGTAGTTCCACGGCACTCATAAAATTCCTATTATGAGGAGAACCACACACAAAAACTTCTTAGATGCTAAGCCTCTTATAGCCAAATTCTTTACTACCACGATAACACGTTTGATGTCATTGTGGTAATATTCTGTATCTTTTTTAGTTGGTCCTGTAACTTTTCATCTAAAACAGACTTATTTTCTTTTAGTGTCAACCAAACTAACACATTAAATTTTTATGCTCAATAGAATTTTCATGATTTTTTAAACAACTTGTTACTTGTTTCCAATCAGATAAGCCGGTTGTGTATTGAGAAATTTGTTTACCAATACTAATTGAATAACATAACTAAGATCTTTCCAGCACTTGACCATTTTTAAGTATTTTAATGAAATGATTATTCGAAAATGATCTCTTTGGTTCTTTGTATTCTCTTACCGAAACAGAATATATATTGTTTGGATCTTTATTTTGAAAATAACTCATTTCATGTGAAAGGATATAATCAATAAAATTATTACTTATTGATTTTGGCCCCGAACCCACGTCAACGTATTTCTCAAACTCAAACCCAAATTTTTTTAACACTTTTCAATCGGGGCATTACTGATGTCCTCTGGTTGAACAATATTGTTTTCAGAAGGCTGCTGATCATCTTGATCTTGCATATTTTCATCATTAATATTTGTTTGTGTTTTTCAGTTTTCTTTGGCTAAGTTCCTTTCCCTTACACTTGCTAATTCATCGGCGTTCGTTATATTCTTGTTACTTTGTTCCATTGTAAAAAAAAGTCAAAATTTTGACACATATAATTTTTCTTTTTCTCGATTTAACAATAATTTTCGTTTCTCTGTTCTACTTTTAAAATTTTTTATCAGACATATTTATATTGTAAACTAAAAACTTGATTTTCTTGAAAATAAATTTAAAAGTTTAGGTCATAAAATTATGATAACACAACCGACTGTTCTTAATAAACTAAAAATATTGTAATAAATTTTTACAAAACAATATAGTATATTTCTGAGATAATTAAAAATAAGTACCTAGTTTATTTTAAAAAATAAAAAAAATCTCTTTGTCTATACTCGCTAAAACCTAAAAAGCTAATTATTATTATTTATTGGTCCATTTATTTAAAGGGGTTTTAATAAAATTTTTATAAAAATAAACTTAAGAATTATATGCCCCACTTTAAATAAATATTGTTTTTCCTTTGTCATCCATTATTTGCTGTTGCTACCTATACTTAAAAAACACGGTTTATTACGAAAATCAAGACCACTTTACTTTTATCCATAATATTCTCGGAAAATGTCTATAATTCATATAAAATGATTGCTATTTTTTCCATCCTATAGAAGTAATTAAGTTACTCATCCAAAATTTTAAGATAAAATACATATTTATGGAAAATCCTGATAGTTTCAATCTTTGAAAAATTGAAAATACAGAAAATACTTAACCATAACTTCAATATCTTTCTACTTAAATAATTTAGAAATGCGTATTGGTACTTAATTTTTATTTGAATAAACAGGTACCTTTTAATTTCAGGTATTATGTACAGATCACAGCAATAAATCAATATATTATTGTAACTTAGAATTATTATTGCACAAAAATAAATGGCTGCAGAAATAGTGGCACTACGTTTTTATAAATGCTCGATGTTCGTCGGCACCGCTCTATGTGTATTATTTATTAATTTCTGCGTATTCGGTGGTAGAGTGGAAGGACAAAAGTAAATTGATCTTGCAATCGAAAATAAAAATAAATTTCATATAGTATTTCGGGTATTTTATTTTTGATTTGTATTTTATACTGGTTTGTTATTTTATTACTATTTTGAATGTTAGCATCTTTTTCTGTTTATTATTTTCGACGGGGAACGGGGGCCCTGGGCTGCAGCCCATTTAGCCCCCATACGTAGATCCGGCCTTGTACTCTTCAACTTAAGATAAAAAAAAGCGTCGACCTTAATCCTATCATATTTTACTAGCAATTTTTTCCGCTTTTCTTTGTTTGTTGGCATGCATTGGGTTAAATCAAGGGCCCTTCTTTACTTCATTGCAAAGGCATAGAACCCTTAAGACTTTCTAAATTTTGAGGGGGTTTGTTTGGCATTTTCTACAATTACTTAAGACATTGTATAATTAAAAAAAATAATTAAAAATGAATAGCTTAAAATTATTCAAATGTATATATGTTCGAAGTGCATTAGAATATAACGCACATAGTAAGACAGTTTAGGTCATTTTCTGTGAGGAAATTTTGTCGATTGAGGGGAGGGGCATAACTAGGTGTTAACTGATAAGAACTTTTCCATTAACTTTTGAAATAAACATACCGTAAAATCCGTTGCATAACGCGCACCCATACTTTCAAGTTGCATTTTTTAATTTTAAGGTATATTCGCCGTATAACGCGCGCGCACGTGCCGTCTTTTTTGCAAAGGAATCTGAAATGTGTATGTATTCAATTCTATCATGTTTTGAAGTCATTTATTCAAGGTATTATCCCAGTATTTTGAAAAAATAGTATACTTCTAGAACTACAATCCTTTTTTTAAGTTCGTTAGGTATGACATTTCTTTTCAATAAACAGCACACACATTCCGATCCATGTAAGAGACTAATTTTTGTATGCGCATCTTTTTTTTATTATGTTTGAAGCTTTCATTTTCATACCCGGCACATATAACGCGTACCCGTGAATTTCAATCTTATTTTTTGTGTTAAAAGTGCGCGTTATAAGCCGGATTTTACGGTACGTCGATTCTTTCCTTTTTCAAACAGAATTCATCTAAACAATTATAAACTACACTGGCCTCCAAAAGTTAAGGAATAACGGGTTTTTTGCGCCTTATTTGCTAATGAATGAATGTAGAAACATCAAATTTGGATGACATGTGCACAAAACAGTTATGTATTGACTGTAAGATAGAAGTTTACTTAACAAAAATTCAAAAATGATTTACAACAAAAAAAAGGCAATCTTACTGGAAAAGTCCATTCTTGGAAAAAATAATAACCACAGTTTTATGTGGTAAAATGTCATAAAAACATAACAAAAATGGGTTTTAATAAGGGATATGCTCACACCCTAACTTGAATGCATTAGTGGTATTGCATTTCCATACTGTCGATTAAGCTGTCGGTTACCGAAATGGGAAGCGAAAACTAGACACGGAGTAAGCTTTGTTCCAGCTCTCCTAAAGACCTTGGAGGAGGACTTAAAGCAGCAACCTGTCTATCAAGATAGTCCCAAAGATGCTCTATCGGATTTAAGTCTGGAGATTGAGCTGGCTATTCTATTTGCTCCAAACCAAGACCCTCAAGATATTCCTCAGCAATTACAGCTCGGTGAGGTCGTGCATTATCATCCATCAGAATGAAGTCATTGCCAATTTCACCGGCATACGGGTGGACACATGGATCAAGGATCTCATCCCGATATCTCACATCAGTCAGAGTTCCTCCCTGGAATACATGCAGGTCAGTGTGACCACAAAGTGAGATCCTTGACTAAACCATTATTCCATCACCTCTGTAACTGTGTCTTTTAACAGTGTTGAATTGAAGATATCTGGTGCTTCGTTCCCTCCAGATGAGCAGACGTCCTGAATCGCTCTCCAGTGTGAACTGGACTCGTCTGTAAAGAGTACAGAAGCCCATCGCTATCTGGTCCAGGAAACGTGTTCTCTTGCTCAAGATAAGCGGGCCCTTCCCTGTCGTCTGTTGACCGGTTCACACACAACTGTTCGCCTTGCATAGAGACCGGAATTGTGAAGACGCCTTCGCACCGTACTAGCGGATATTCTTCTCCCTGATGCTACAGAGTGGTCTGCAACAAGTTGCGGCACAGAAATCCTTCTCCTTCGGGCCGAAAAAGTGATAAAACGGTCTCCTGCAGGTGTTGTAGCTCGTGGTCGTCCTGGAACATGTCTTCTGGACACAGATGCTTCGGTTTGATATTGATTCCAGAGATGGTGGACCGCACTACGAGACACAGTAAGACGCCTAGCAGCATCAGCCTGTGACAATCCCATTTCCATCCATCCGACTGTCCTCCATCCTGACGAATCGGGCAAACGGCTTCTCTCAGACATTGCGAGACCCCACTGCCTATTGTCAACAAATCTGCTAACAAAAGATGGAAATCAACAAAAGTTACACGCGTAATTACGAAAGCCTGATATATGCATATTTTTCTCTCACTCATAAATATCTGTTCTTTCCAATTAAAAAAAAGTAGTAGCTATTGTTTTTGCATAAATTTGTATAAAGTTTATTTTTATCATTTATATAAACTGACATTTTTATTATTACTGTCATTATTTTAAGGATGAGCATCGAAAAACACGTTGTTCCTTAACTTTTGGAGGCCAGTGTAGTACAAAATTCGAATGAAATTGTATGATTGATTTTGTTGTTTTCTGATAATGTACTCGTACTATTTTAAATATTAAGGAGATAAAAGAAAGTAAAGTAGAGACCTGTTTTCATACGATGGCCACCTCTGTATATTATTAGTTCGTGCCAGTCACTTGAGTGGTACACAGGATGAGGACCTTGTAATTTGTTCCAAAAAATTGATTACATCATAGGTTTCACGATATCGAAAAGATGCAGTTAAGAGGTCTTTTTTTCAATTCCTACTATTAGTTCACAACTCTCCCTATATTTATTTATTTATATCTATATATATATATATATCTTGTTCAAATTTTCAGTCGTCAATAAAATACTTTTTATTCATCCACTCAAGTTCAAGTACATTTTTTTTAAACTTGTATTCGATGACACTTGATGTTAATACAATTTTTTGAAATATTAATTCATTAATTAATAAATAATTAGTAACAAAAAAATAAAAAAACCAATACCAAATATAAAACGAAATTCGTTCGTTGTGTCCCTGTAGCACAATGGGTAGAGCGCTGGACTTCTAATCCAGAGGTCGTGGGTTCGAATTTCACCTGGGATGTCCTAATTTCTGAGAATGTGATTTCTTTTCACTATATCATTTTATTGGAATAAAACTAAATTTAATTAATGAATAAATAGCAACAAACAAAATTAATAGTCCAACATCTTATATAGAAAGGAAAATGGAAAATCGCTTTCTGTCATATGTATATACATATTTATGTTAATTGTAATTGTTTAATAAAAAATAACTAAAATAATATTTTTCTTTGTTGACCTAAGTAGGAATGGACTTCAAATTTTTTTTATATATTACTTGTGTGTGTTTCCTGTAGTGATACAATCTAAAGAGAGAATTTTTAGAATGATGGTTAAGGAGTCTTATAATTGTCTTGATCTGCTGTTATTCATTATTTTTATTTTATTGTTCATTCGGTAATTATAATGTATTAAATAATCCTTTAAGGTATCCGACTACCCTAAAATCGAGAATTTTGCCGAAAATTTAAATTTTTTTATGATTTTATTTTATAGGTCATCTTATTCGTTTCAAAAAAATTACCAAGTTTATTATTTTCCATTCACTAGAACAAAAACTACAAGTGTTTTAGTAAACGCAGATGCCCCTACTTTAAACAAGATGTCATTTTAAAATGCGTTTTACTCGAAATGTGTTTTTTGAAAACGCTCAAACGGGGACAGCGATTACACAAAAAGTTTTGAAAATAATCAACTGAAATTTTTTGTGTATGTTGTGTATAATAGTAGAAGTGCTTTAACCTTCAGATTTATCAATCATTTTTATTACAAAATTTACAGCCCCTTATGTGAACATAATCACAGTTTTTTTAAGCAATTTCCTATAATAACTAAGATAAAGTCCTCCAGAGAGTTTTTGTAAAAATTAAAACATCTCTTATTCTGAAGGTCATTTTAAAAATGAATAGCAAAGCAACACACCAGAATTGAAAAATTGAAAATTGGTCATAAACTTTTTGTACAGAAGAGGCTCCGTTTATCTAATTTTTTGTAAATTTTTTAACAATTTTTAAATTTTTACCAATTTTTCCCGTTTTAGTAATAATAATTTCTTTTTCTCTTCTTAGTTTTAGCATATTTTTCTTAAAATGTACTAAATAAATCTAAAAACCACGAAAGAAATCCCAAAATCCCCATTTTTTTTTTAAAAAAAAAAAGTTGTCGCAAGTAGTCGGATACACTTAAGATGAAAAGGTTCAATATACGTAGATGAAATCTTAATCGGAAAAAAATATTTTTCTTTGCTGAATTATTTTATCACAAAGGGGAAGGGGCACTCAAAGAATTTCTCTACAAAACTCTTCGAATGCAAATTGATTTGTAACTAATAATTATTTTAAAAGTTTCTGTAGAAAAAAATTATAACAATGAAAATCTCTTCTTAAGAAAAAAACTTTCCATACACTAGAGGAAAAAAAAACTAATCCTCTTGGGAAATATTAGATCTTTAATAATTATTACATTATATAGCTTCCTCCCGAAGAAGAAGATGTGAACATGCAAATTAAAACTTGTATATAAAGTTGAAACTTTCAGTTTGAGTGGAGGGATAGGTTAGACTGCTAACGGGAGCAGTAATTAATTAAACTTGAAGTGAGGCGTGGGTATTTAGTAACTTTATTGTAAATATTAAAGTTGAGGATTTGTTTCAACTAAGAATTAAACTAGTTTAGGTAGCTAAGAAGTATAAGCTATTGACTAGACGTAAGGAATCTGTGATATGGCCACTCTATGGTGACCATATCTTTGATTGTCAGCGTGAATTAGAGGTGTGGGATTCTCAAAATGATCAGAAATTTTAAAATTCTTAATATGACTTTATTAAGAATATAATTTAAACTTCTAACAATTTAGATAAATTTGTATGAGTGAGAATCTAATGAACCAAACACACAGCGATAGTTAAACCGAATCACGTAATTTAGACCACTTTATCTAAATAATTATATTATCCGCCTACTCTTAATTCTAATAATATTACAAGTCCTAATATCAAATAATCAGTCCTACCTTAATCCAAACTAAAATTCTATCACGGTACGGAAACGTCTGGGTGCGCGTGCAATGGTATGCACCTTGTATCAATGGCTGAATATCTCAGTAACTTTATGATAGACCGTCAATTCACTCTCGTATCTCTTCCAAATATAACTTTCCCTAAATTGCCATACTGCTTACTGAAACTTCTGTTCTTTTAAAAGCTATCTTATTTGCATTTCATAATCGCATTTCGCTTCTTGGATTTTGGTTGGAAAAGAGTTTCCATTAATCTTGGCCGTCAAAGAACCCAGAGGTTATGTTAAAGAAAAGACGCATGAGCCCGTCACAAACCCCTCCAAGAAGCAAAACGTGATTTATTCCAGGGTCTTAATGGCCCTTAAGAAATTACGTGTCTAAATTTTTATTTCTGAATCTCCTCATTTTCCAAGTTTTATTTAAATTTTAACCTTGAATCCTCATTTTAACTATTAATTTTCAATATTCAACTTAAACTTTAATTTTCATTATTCATCTTAAATTTAATTTTTAATATTCCTCCGTAATTTAAACTCTTGACAGCCACAACAAATTTTACTCAATCAACTAGACCAACACCAACAGTTATGCATTTCAATCAAGGTAGATTCTCACTTTTAGAACAAATATGGGTATGCCTCATCCATCTTGTCAGATTTACAAAAAATTTGCTTCTTTTTAAAATCTTCTGTCTAACATTTGTTATATCCATACTGTCGGATTTACAATGTGAGAAAAACTGCTTCCTATCCAGAATTCAGGGTCAGTTACCCTGAAATAAAAACTCTTTAAGTTACTTGGCAAAATCTATATTCACATAGTACCAGTATATTTCACAAGTTTTATACATTATATATCACTTTTAAATTACAATAAAATTTTATCTATATATATCTATGTACATTAATATGAAACAATACATCAATATATATATATATACACACTATACAATTACAAACATTTTTCAATAAATCATTAAAACAAATAACCAAAGGAATTGTCGCATCTCTGCGAAGTCATACATCAAAGTAAACAAATGCATGATTACAATTGTTTTCTCCATCAATTGAGAAAAAATTTTACAAGTCAAAAGTTCAAAAAAAAAGAAATAATAAATAAATACACTCATTGTAGTGTCAACTTTTGCTTGGATTATAATTTTTAAATACCGCCCCCTAGACTTCCTTCTTTGCAATAATTCTTCCGTTCACTTGTTGGAAAGAATATAAAATGAAACAATACAACCTGATTTTTATGGCTTGTCGTCTCCTACTAGAACTTCCAATGATAGTGTACTGTTAGTTTTCGCTCCTCTTCTCATTTCTTGGCTCTTTGATCCTGTCTGATTCCTGATGTAGGGTCTGTAGTTTTCTCTTCGGTTGTTCCTGGCTTGATCTGAATTCACTTTACTGGTTGGTAGGGACTCCTGGTCCGGTTTCTTGTGTAGTCTGATGTTATACCTTTCTCTATCTTGAACCACTGCTCCTTCCTTTCGGTTTCTCTTCCTACTTATATAAATATTATTATCTGATGACAATGGTCTTTTACTTATTTTATGGTCTACACGTTTCTGCAACTTTCTTTGTGGTCCACTTGACCAAGATCCATGCGATCGTTTATATCCTAATCTTTCCTGGCGTTTTCTTTTAATTTTGATTTATTATTGGAAAAAGAGCTAGGTAGTAATCTGATAAGTGGTCCGCGCTTATCGGCCCTACCTGTGTGTTTCTCACGTTGATTTGACTTAAGATTTATCCCTTTTTCCTCTAACTTACGCTTTACATCAGACCCCTTCTTTCGACCATATTGCGGCTCATTTGATCTTCGTTGTACGCTTTCCCAACTACTCGTTTCCTGAGGTGAACTAATGCTATCCGAGCTACCTGTTCCTATCTCAATCTTGTCACATTTCCTATGACGATATATTCTCACTTGATCAACATTGACGGTTAACCTTTTTCCTGACCTCCATATTAAAACATTATTATTATTTCTTACTTCTAACACCCTATACGGATTTTCAAATTTTTGTTTAAACTTAGCGCAAATTTTGTTGGCTGTTGAACTTAAAGGGTGTGTTTTTAACAAGACCCAATAATTCACTTTAATTTGTACATCAGGCCTGCATCTATTATAACATTTCTTCCATTTTTCATGTTTAGCTTTTGTGTTTCGTCTAGCTTCATCAAACAATTTTTCAATATCTCCTACTGCAAACTCAGTTCCGTCCGAAACTATGATTAATTTTTGAAATGAGGTAATCAACTTTCGACCCAAAAATAATTCCGCAGGGGTTTTTCCCGTCGTTTCATTCACTGCTGTACGAATAGCATAAGCAAACTCACGTAAGAATTGGTCCCATGTATCGTGTTGATTATTTACATAATTTGTAATCATTTGCACCAGATCGCGATTCACGCGTTCCGTTCTATTTGTCTGAGGTCTATGTACAACAGTCTTGACATGCCTTATGCCTAATCTTTCACTTAAATGTTCAAAAATTTCGGATATAAATTGGGGACCGTTATCACTTATTAATTTTATTGGAGCTCCAAAACGCGATTTAAAATTATCAAAAAAAATATCCGCTATTATACGAGCCGAGGCCTTTTTAAGAGGTATAATTTCAGCCCATTTGCTGAAATGATCGGTAATTACTAAAATATATCGATTACGTCTTATTCTCGATGTAGGGTACGGACCTAACAAATCTAACGTAACTATCTCATTTGGATAATTTGATACGATCGGATTTAATCAAACAGCTGATAACGCGTTTTTATAATTATTAACTTGGCACATATGGAATGTAGAGACATATTGATAAACAAATTTTCTCATATACGGGAAATAACAAACGTCCCAAATTTTATGATAAGTTTTAAATCGGCCAAAATGACCTGCTATGGGCTTGTCGTGAAATTCAGTCATGATTTCATTCCTTAAAGACTTTGGAATGTATACACGTATTTCACCTAACGACGTTGCGTATTTCGCATAAAA